GCTTTTAGTTTTTCGAATTATCGACTTTCATTTTTTTCGAAAAATTTATTTTCTCAGATTTCTTAGCAATATACATCGCATTAATGTGCATTATTCTGTGAAAATAAGACATCGATTGCATCTCTGACGGACTTATTTCTAAGGAACAATATGAATCAGTCGAAGTCGATCGCCAAGAAGAAGCTCGTCTCATCTGTCTTTCCGTCTAGTTCGACAGCGATTGCTCATCATTCGATTATCATCAGAATGATCTCAGAGTGAGCATCGAGTATGAAGAAAGAATTGACAATTATCGATTTGAAGATCGAAGGAAGGGGGCAGTACACCCATTGTTTTTTCTTCGATGGATTCGGCTAATATTGTTGATCAGTTAGTGTGGAACGACTCCCTCTATATCCGTTGCCTGAGGTATCGGGTCTGACGTCTTGATCGTACTTGCGCAAGTACGTTTTCTAGGGCTCCTTGTCCGACCTGTGTTCTACACGGACAGATCGAACTCGATGTTTATCACAGTTCTGGTGCAAGCGTCAAGATGTTTGGCGTAGTCAGTACTTTGAAGAAAGTCTAGGACCGACCCACAGTTTTTGAGAACCATTGAAAACTCAGCGACGAAAATTTATTCATAGGTAGCAAAATGAACTTTTAAGATACGAGAGGGTTTTGGGATAAATTCTGTAGAGTCTGATGTCCAAGGGACCCTACACCACCAGTATCATGGTTGAGGGAGGAAAGAGCAGATTCTATCACACCGATGTGTCGCGCTGTGTGAGAAAGCGCCAAATAAGAGGAGAATGGAAGGGAAACCTCAAAGTTCATCAGAGTCCAAAAAATCTAAAAAGAAATCTAAAAAAGCCCGTTTCAGACTTCGAAAATCCAGAGCCCATAAAACCGCTGTTTCCTCTTGTAGCCATCGCACTCCTTTATGCTATACTTAATTGCGTCATTTATGGATGACGTCTCGGAAGAACTGGACATTTCTTGGACTTTTCTCCAGTCATGGTGTGTGTGTACACTCTAAAAAAATGCGACTCAGGATCAAATTAAGTCGCATTAATGTGTCTTATTTTCACAGAATAAGGCACATTAATGCGACTTAATTCGATCCTAAGTCGCATTTCTTTTTTTAGAGTGTAGTTGAGTAGGTAAGCTGATCGTGATCCTATATCGCGTCGTAGTGAAGTAGTGCATGATAGAATGCTGTTCGGAGAGAGCAAAGAGCTCCTTTATTTATAAGAAACTTTTCTTCCTTTTCTGGGCTATTTCTTAGGTCGGTTGTTATCTTTATGGTGTTTGTTATTACTCAGGCAAATGCGCTGAGCCCTGTTTATCACACGACTTCCATAGTAGCGAAAGGTGGGTACAGGAGAGAAAGGATTTTTCTCTTACCAACATTGTTTTACGATAAGGAACGGAAAACGTTCCCTTTGTCGAAACTTGAACTGTGGAATATGCGAAAATGTTCTAGTAGAACATTTTTACATATTCCACAGTGTTCCAAATAAGAGCGATCCAACACACGAACACGGAAAAACTAGTGTCATTCAAAAATCGTGTTAGGACCAGCGTATTGATCTTACATATGATATTTTAAATCTCGTGTTGAAGAAAAATCAACACTTGGAAGATGCGCTATGAAAAAGCTTGTGCCACGCAGAACAAGTTAAATTTCACACTAATACTTTACTCTCCAGAATCTTGGAGCTGCTAACCGTAATCAGAAAGCGCGAATAGTTTTGAATAACGAAAAAACGTTAATCATCTAATTCTAACACTTAAAAAGCATTCTAACAGTAACAGCAAACAATTTTACGAGCATGTGAATGCTAACAGCGGGCTTGATAACGAAAAAAACTATTTTCGTTTGTAGACCCCAAAACGATACCAAAACTTCATGAAAAAATAAAAATTTGATTTCTCGCAAATCTAAGACTAAAGGTTGAAAGTTTTACAGTATAGAGGCTATATAAATAGCTACCATTGCTATAAGTTAAGAGTGTTCCCTCGTCAGATTAGTTGCAACATATAAAGGAAAGAAACTGTCTGTTAGAAAACTTTCAATCTGAGTCCTTTCAGGCAAGTTTCTGATTACGGTAAGTAGCTCCACGATTCTTGAGAGTAAAGTATTGTGAAATTTAAATTGTTCTATTTAAATTGTTGTTGTTGTTAAAGTGTTGGTTTTTCTTCAAGCCCAGATTTAAAATTCCATAAGTAAGATCAATAAAATGGTCGTGTTTCTTAAAGTTGCATTTTCTTCTAACTCCTTTCTTAATTATTTGGTATCTAATTATTATTTTGTTTTCTCTTACTTTGAGTTGAGCGACCATCGAAAAAACGTTTTAAAAAAACTTAAAATTGATATTTTTCATGTAATTCTATGATCTTTCTTCAACTATGTCCCAAAAAGCCAAAATAATTTTTGCTGCACTTCTGAAGTATTAGCACTGCTGATACTTCAAAAGTACAGCAAAAATACAGATGAGGTGCTGAGTGCTGATTCAGCACCGCATATATCGATGAACTTGTCTGCTTTCCTGCACGATTCTTATCCTTTAACCTTTTATGCAAGAATCTATAAGTTTGTCTGGCTAAACCGTGCTCAAAGCACGAAAAATATGAAAGTGACAACAAATCTCAGTAAAACAAGAGTCAAAGTAAGCAGCCGAGATAAGGGAAAATTAATGTTATAAGTGATCACAATACTGCTGGTCTCAGCACGTACCATGACCGACGTTTTGTTCTGTCGTACCATCTTGGATTCACAAAATAATAATCAGATAGTTTGTGTTAGTGAATATCCATTATAATGACATATTTATAGAGCTGATAGTTCTCAGCAAAACGGACTATTGTCCATCGTAACAATCTTCGCAAAGTGGACAAAAATAGATTTGCAGTATTATGAATGTTTGACATAAAGTTTCATTTTTGCTATTATAACTCCATTTTTAATTCAATAAAAAACATTCCTGATCTGTAGCTTTTTAGTTTCAAAAATGATTTTTTAAAGAAAACTTGGCGCTGATCACCCTTGCATCTAAAATCTCTTGGGAAACAAAGACTTCAATTTAAAAAAAAATTACTCTGAAAGTAGGCCTTGGCCATCACTTCCCATGCAGATGTAAAAAGTCGTTCGAAGAGTGCGGCGAGTACTCGAAAATAGATACATAGGAGTTCTTATACTTAATAGATACGTTATTTTTCGAACTTGATTCTCTTTATTTAGTCATGATAAATTTAGAGAAGTTATTCCGGTTTACAAGCAGTGGGCCATAAGGGCGAGTCTTTAGACTGCCCTTCGGGACTAAGGTTTAGGAAGTAAATAATTTTCTTAACGTATGTAACAACATATCATAGTAAGAAAATAGAATACAGGATACTTGATTTATAAATATCTTGTATAACAATTCTATAATTTCTTATATGAATCTTATCGGAATCTTATCAGGATCATTTCAGATATCGATAAGGATCTAGTAAGAGAAAGTCACGACTTTTCGCCAGGTCGTATGGATTCCTTATCAATATCTTATATAAATCGTATACGCGTCTTATACTTATCGTATGGAATTCTTGGGACTATCTTGCGGAATCTTATACAAGATCGACGTAAGATTCTTATTGGATTTCTGTTAGATGCTTATCTGTTACATGCACGTTTCATGTGACCTTCCTGACTGTTCCTTATATAAGATTCGATTTCGAGGGTCTTTCATCTTATGGGTTTTTAAAATCATATATTTTCAAATATTAATGTGTTCGACAGTGAATTACTGTGTACTACTCACATCAATGAATTTTTAGAGTAAGCCTACATGTGTCTGTTCATGGATTTTTGCAATGAAACATACTTAGTCTATAACGATATTTCCTATGCAGTATCTTGTTGATGATGTTTATGTTTGTTACTGTCTGTGTTTTTTTTAACGAAATTTTCAATACGTTAGCTCCACAGCATGACTGAATGATTCGCGAATAGTTTCTTTATTTTACGATTTATCTAATGAATCGCTAGTATATTCTTTCAGATTTTTGCCTTGATTAAATACAGCCTCGTAAAGTTTTTTGTATTGACAATACCATCAGAATAAACGGTTTCAAATGTTATTATAGTCCAATGGCAAAAGATGTTAAATCATGCGGCAAACATTGTGTTAAACCAAAAGAAAGTATTCCAAAAAAAGGAAAATATCCTCCACAAAATTCCATACAACCATCAAGTACTTATTGGTATATTTGTGACATTTATGATTGCGATACTAATGAAGAGTGTAAAGGACATTAAAAATGTTATCATAACATATGTTATGTTTCGGTGCGTAAAGAGGATCTTATATAAGGAACAGGAATGTCATATCAGGAAGGTCACATGAAACGTGCATGTAACAGATAAGCATCTAACAGAAATCTAATAAGAATCTTACGTGGATCTTGTATAAGATTCCGCAAGATAGTCCCAAGAATTTCATACGATAAGTATAAGATGCGTATACGATTTACATAAGATAGTGATTAGGAATCCAAGGAATGTGTATAAATTAACATTATTTTTTTCTCGTTTATTCAAATCTTAAAATCTGAATAAACTTTTTTTAAAGAAATTCTCGTAAATTCTACCACACAATATATATCAAAGTGTTGCGATTATTCGATAAAACGTCATCATCGTTAAACTCTCTACGTAAGCAGTTGAATTAGTTCTAATAAGTTCACCTACAACAAAAGATAAAAAATAAATTAGTGAAAAAAGTTAACAAAAAAATAGAAGTGAATATAAAATATCTTACTCAGATAACAACTATATAACAAATCGAATATAAAAGTTGAACACACTGACTTATTGTATTTCAACATCGCCATTGAACAGAGATAAAGAAAGTTAGAGCAGGAAAATCAGATGTAATTTTATATAAAATTGAGCATATTATCAAAAATAGAAAAAACTTTTTTTGTAGGAATCTAAAGCAATCACGGGCACCTTAGAAAGATAAAAAGTTTTGTTTTCATAGTCCATGATGAGCAATGGGTTCATCACTTGTCGTGTACATATTTTCCCATACGTGAGATAAACATACAGATGAATGAAAACGAAAAAATATTTGCAATGGCGTGGCAATTGCAGCAATAATTGACCATGGTATGATGTGATAAAAATCCAGTTGAAATGGATTTGCCTCATGTTTTGTCGTTGTTGTTGTTTCTTCAAACCATAAACTCAAATCTATCATTATTAATAATGTAATAATTTCACGCGCAGGATATTCTTTCTTGGTCGTTCGATTTAAACGTTTACGTAAAGCGATAAGAATAAAAAATGCATGGACAGTTCCTTCAATAAATTCTAAATAAAAAGCAATAAAAATAAATTCAAAGATCATTACTTTAAAATTAGTAATAAATTAATTTAAAGTAATTTTAGTAATAAATAGAATAAGAGAGGAGGGCTAATGAAAATTTCTATCAATAAAATACGTAACTACAGAATATAAGCTCATTGAAAATAATGCTTACCTAATATAACAATCGCTATTTTGATATAAGCAATCCAAGTTGATGTGTGTCTATTGTTAATGATTGCAAATGCACTGAATATACTATAACAATAATAAATAAAAAAATAATTATTACTCCTTCTAGATACAAATGCCATTTGCTGAATTAGCTAAAATTGTGTATTTGTTTGTTTGTATAAAGCTTTATTATTTAAATACCTCAAGTAGAGGGGTTGGTAGTATCACCTTACGGGCGCTGACTACCTTACAACATTTAAATTCGCATGCAGAAAAAAGGGAGAAAAATATGTAAAATATTTAAAGAATCATTGACTAGTTTCCGCATTAAGAACATTACAAGCTATTTAATTTAGCTAATTCAGCTAAATTTCTGTATACGCTACCCTGACAGCAATAAATTCGAAAAAGAAATTTTTTTTCAAAATAACACATGCTAAGACTATATAAATTGTGTACAATCCTAAACTGATTGCATGTCACCCTCACCCCCATGTCCACATATGTTTAAAGAATAATTCGGTACTACTCTCGTGTTTGTAGCAACATTAGATAATAATACGAAAATTGAGACAATGAAAATAGCATTCTTTTCTGAATAACATATTTTCCTTTCGGATACAATAATAGCTTACCTGTATAAGTAAATTCCCGTTAGCGAGACAATAATCAATACATCATCAAAACCTTAAATTTAAAAAAAGCTTACGATAACTTCAAAACATAGAAAATTAGAATATGTACGTGTAGTTGTTCGGCGATAATGCAATTTTCTAATTTTGGCCAATGCTATTGTTGTTGCAATCAATGACATTGAAAGTAGCCATAGATTAACTAGAACATTAATTTAAACTTAATATACTCTCAATTACCAACTATCGAAAGCGTTTGGAAAAGCAAAATTTACCTATTTCGATGATGGCTATACTGTAATTTATTTTTCCATTGAACATAGAACTATGTGGTGGTTCACCATGTGACAGTTGTTGTAATACATTTTGTCCTTTACGCAAATCACCAGCTGATGGCGAATGTGAATCAACACCACTTTTATTTCGAAAACCGGCATATAAAATAATACTAATAACACTGCATGAAAATATAATCATTCCCGTAAATAATCCTTTTATTGATGCGTGGCAGTTAACCATAAATACATTCTTTGTTGATGCTTTATCAGACATTTTGTAGGCAAATGTTTTACCTACATTTTCCCAAATTAGGAAAAATAACTAGAACAACAAAAAAAGTGAAGATGAATTTACTTATTGAAGATAAACCTAACTTTTAGATTCACTCACTGTTAAGCACATAAGACTAAATTCTATGGTACAAGGATATAACAGCGGTTTCAATCTTAAATATTCGTAATTGATGTATGTTGTTGAATGATTACTAGTGTGTGTATCTAGGTCGGCATGTTCTAGTGAGAGATAAGGTGAAACATTTGAGATGGAAATAATAAACAGTTTTTAGCATCACTTTAAAAAGTGATTATAAATCTTTGTTTTACGTCATACTTCATCTCATTGTTGAAAAATTACTGACCATTAGAATGCACGCCATAAGGTGATTTCGTTTCATAAATTTGTGACTTTGTTTCAACAACCACCATGCGAAACCTGAAAAAAAGAACAACAATCCTAATAGCGTTTCAAAAAAAAAATTATTAAAAAGGCTGATTTAACTAAAGTGATAAATGAATATAATAATATTTTCATGTAAGATGCAAGAATGCGTCACACTAAGTTGTAGATGAAACTTCAATAACTGACTAAAATTTCTAGACTACTTCAGGAAAAAGCATCTTGTGAGTCTATGTAATTTGTTTTACATATGACAGGAAATCATAGTGTTTAGTTCAGCTGCTTACGTATCGGTATTATATGATGTTGCTGTGTTTATCTTAAAAATCTATTTCTTCCGGCTTAGTGCATTCTGGAAGATGCCTTTGTCGACACTTCGAAGTGTAAAAGTATAGCTGCACAGTAGCAGCACAATAATCAAGTTCTTAACGGCTGTGCTTCTTGAGAAAAACCTAGAGTAATGATAGAGAAACGCCACAGCGTTACGTTTATCCAAGCCAAACAGAAAAACTTTTCGGAATTTAAATAATAGAGAGAGTGTTAATAGTGTAAGGTGATAAACTTGAAAAAAATTCATTTCTTGTTAACAAAAGATAGTGGAGATGTGGGAGTGGTCTTATTTTGAAGAGAACACTTCACTTCACTTCGCGTCACTTTATTATAAACTATGTTTAACTTAAAAACAAACAGAGATGTCAGAATATCAGTACGTAGTGTATTCTCAAAAAGACACTGTTTCCTGGACTTGCTGGGCTTGGTCTATTCTCATTGACAATACACGAGAATATACCAGAATACGCAAATATATAAATTTCTATAAAATGTGTTGGGCTTGGCGTATTCTCATTGACAATACATAATATAGTGTCGCGGTCGGCGGGGGGGGGGGGGAGGGGGGGGCCGCATTAGAGTGAGCCCATAGGCAAAATTTGCCCATTTTAAATG